ACAAAAATAATCTCACTTTAAAAAATAAACACAAGTAAAACTGTTGTGACCACCTGACCTTTCTGGCAGCTCAAGCACCACTTATAGACATGTTTCAAATTCATCTATTACAAACGGGCATTTTTTAAACACATTTTTTCTCCTTTGTACAAATTTTTCACGTGTCTCTTAAAAATAGAATCACACTGTGTGTGTGTGTGTGTGTGTGTGTGTGTGTGTGTGTGTGTGTGTGTGTGTGTGTGTATATATATAATATAATATATTTGGGGTGCAACGATACACAAATTTCACGGTTCGATATTTTTTCGATACAAAAAATGTTCATGCCTTTTTAATTTGTCATTTATTAAAATTATAAATATATATTTTAACTCAAAAGTACAGTTTTTAAATTTAATGTTGCTGAAACAACAAAGTAATAAAAAAATAAATCTATCTGATGAGAAATCACTCATCTTTGGAAAAGAGAGTTTATTACAGAGAAATGGCTCTTTCCAAAATAAAAGCTATACTATACGCTTCTTCTGGGCTATATTCTCAGCAGCATATTAAACATATCAGGTCCCCATAAGGAGAATCCTGTGCTAACGGCTGTCTAAATGACTCGGGTAAAGTTTGTAGCATGCGTGCTTGTTGTTTTTGTCTGCTTCCACTTGTCTTTGCACTAGGATGATGTCGGAGTAAATGTGCAGTCATATTCGTTGTGTTCCCACTAGTGCTGTCAGCGTTAATCTCGTGAAATGACGTTAACGCCACAACACGGCAAATCTCCGTTAACGAGCTACCGCTGGATCGCCCCGTGCGTGGGGCTGGACGGTCAACACGTTAATGAGCAAACTGCGCTAACGCAGTAGTTCCCACACATGTAATTGAGCATTGCTGGCACATCCACACTGTTTTACTTTTGTCCATGACGGCTTACCTTCAGGGTCATCTTCACATGAAGACCAAAATAGTTCCAAAGCCAGATCTGAATGAGGGTGGGGGAGGTTCAATTTGCCATGTTGCAACGAGCTTAGCTTCTGTCTTGCTAGCTTGCCCTGCGCTCAGTGAATCTGCGTTCGACTACTCCGCCTAGGCTGCACTGTCGAGCGCAGATCCACTGAGCGCTCAACACAGACAGCATCGTCAGAAGGAAAGTTGATAAAATAAATTAAAAATTTTGTATTGTTCGATACATATGCGTACCGAACCGAAAGCACTGTATCGAACGGTTCAATATCGATACGAGTATCTTGCACCCCTAATATATATATATATATATATATTATATGATATATATATATATAATATATATAGATATATATATATACATATATATATAATGTATGTATTATATATATGTATATATGTATTTGATGTGTATATGTATGTAAATATATGCAAATGTGTATTGAAATCAAACAAACACAAGACAATTCCTCATCCACACAGACATATGGATTCAAAGGACAGGCACACATTCATAAAACTGCCCGTAACAGATGCTCATACAAATGTTGAAAGGCATACTTGTACAGTAGACTCACTCTATACACTCCACGTGTATCTTGGGCACAAACAAACACTGTCTATCTCAGACATGAAAACTTGCTTGAGGTCATTGCTTGAGAGCGCCTTGCTAGCTGTATATGATGCAGAAGGCTTTGATCTCTGGACTTGGCTGTGGCAAAGACAGCCAGCGCTGCGGCCCTGCGATACCGGAAGCTTGTGGTCTGGGCTGGCTCCATTTACTACTCTGTTCTGGTGCTAAATATACAATAATAAAAAGGCTAGCAGATTTATTTCAGACTTATACATTTCCTCTCCAGCGAGGGAAGAAAGGACAAAGCAAAGAGACAGACGTCTCCAGATTACCAAAGAACATTAAGTGATAATTACAGAGAGAGATAGAAAGAAAGGGACGAGGTTTCCCCCTCTCGCTTTTCTCTTCCTCCTTTACTGCTACCACAGACTAAGAGGGGCGCCCACTCTATTAGACTTCGAATGATTGGCTATGATTGCATTATCTGATCTCATAAGGGATGAAACACACACCACATGCCTGCATTTCATTGCTCAGTGATCACTCAGAAGTCAAACATGTTTTTTTTTCTTTATACATGAAGCCATAAAAGAACATGGGATTCAAATTCAAACATTTTCCTAATCTTTTTCAAGTTAGTTTCCTGAAACACACAAGCACGCGTGCACACACACATTCATACTCCGCTATGCACTCGACTTCACCACGAGTCCACCGCACTCCTCTCAAAGCTCTTTGATCCCCGGTCGAGGGTCCTCTCCGTGGTGCCTCAGTCTGAATTCCAGAGATTCTGGGATAATTCAAACGTTTCACGGCACATACTTGGTCCCCCCAGGAGACAGCGGCAGAGATGGAAAATGCCACCACGGTCCCTGTCTCTCTCTCCCTCCATTGTCCCTACTCTTTAATCAGGCCCTCTCTGTGGCTCACGCTGCCACCATGGTGTGTTGTCTCAGCCTGGGAAAATGCCGGCCTAAGTGGCTGTTATGTGCTGAGGCGCAGACCACAGGGACCCAGAGGGGTGCTGCTGGAGCCCTCTGTGCCAGCCGTGGGTCTCAGAGTGGCTAACACACACAATGAGTGAGGTCCCAAGTCTGGATGTAACCTTACATAACAGCCATCACTTCATCTATTTACTTTTTGTCTGGGTTTTCAATCAGTAAATCATCATACGACGTTGTAATCACAGGGACAGGCAAGAAACCCAATCATGAATCATGAATGTTATTTGTTCCTAAGAAGTTGCTGGGTGTAAACCGGCGCTAAACTGCCACACAGATAGGGCAGTATTGTAGAAAGTCCAGTGTGATTGCTTGGCTACGATCTGCAGAGAGGGAGTTTCCTGCCCTGAAGTCAACAAATGACAAAAACAAAGGCCTTGTGTTTCCCTGAGTCACAACCAGAAGAAGGTCAATAAGCAGAGCAACATCAGTGTTCGGCCCATTTTAGCTTTGTTTTGGGATGGACTCGTGTTAGGGCTGTGCCTGTCGGGTCAACTGGCAGCTGGACTTGCCTGCAGCCGGACACAACGCTCCATCAGGTCAAGTTTACAAGAGCTGAGTGAAAGCCTTCTGCTTTATACTGGTTTATATTTAGTGCTTATAAGCATGAATAGAGTTTTTATGAGGTGCTATAAATTTCATTTTCAAAAAAAAAGAAAAGGGGTGAGTGCTTAGGCTCATGTACGCCTACCCTGTGGTTTCCACAGGCCACCACGAAGCCTTTGTATTCACTCTGTTTGCCATGGGAAAATATCTGAAACAAATAAGTTGCCCAGTCGGCACCCATCAGTGTAAAAAACACTTCTAAGAGCTGTGGATTGTGCTGAGAGGGTGTGGTGCAGCGCTAAAGGAACTACTTGTTTACTCTTGCTATGTCTGAAAATAAAATAAAAAAAAGGATCTATTTTCTCTCTGAAATGGGAGGCAAATAAACAAGTATTCTTGAGCAGACAATGTGGGCAGGCGCGAGCCGCCTGTGGTTGTACAGCGGCATGCTGGACTTGGTAAGAGATGGAGGGTGACACTTGGAGGTTCTTCCTCCAAAACATCATTACCATCATCATCATCATCACAAAAAACGGTTTTGCTCTTTATGGATAGTTTCCTGCTTTGTAACAGCTGTGTGCTGGATGAATTCGTTAAACGGCTCTCCAATGGATTATGTTAAAACTTAAAGTCAGGGGTGTGGCCACTTTGACTGGCAGGCAGCTGTAGCCAAAAGCTGACTTCTAACTCAAATCAGTTAGCTGGACCTTACTTGCACCCATCTGTGAGTGCAGTTTTCTAGCCAAACCTGATGGTGAGCTGATCATTTAGCTATTTTAGCCAGCTGTGGCCAAAATATACTGAGACTTCAAAATGCCGAATCCAGACACTAACGGTGTGCTCATGATGGTCACATCCATCTTTGATATACAGTCTCTCCTGGAGACATCTAGAATTGAATTGTAAGCATTAATCAGCTGGTTTGGTTTTTAATGAATACTGCCATATAGTAAGGAAAAAAAAGTTCAGTGCAGACAGTGTTACGAAAACGTTTTAGATTATTTCTGTATTTGTCCAGAAGCTTAACAAATCCGTTTTCTAATAGTTAAAAGCATGGCATCATCATTTACTATAAAGTAAAATATGCATCCTGAATTAAGAGCACATGGAAGACAGAAATCCCTTTTCTTGGGGTCAAACTTGCCATAGTTGGTGATCTCACTACTTAACATATTCCTGGTATTTTTGCAAGTCATGTTGTTTTATTCCTTTACACAAAGAAGTCAGAGGCACGTGTACAGAACAAGATGTAAATCTGTCAATCTGACCATAACTTCCTCCTGGAAAAATAGTACAGCAGACGCAGAACTGGCCACTGATTGGACAGATAAACAAAAACGTCACTGTTTTTTTTTTTTCTTTGGCCGAAAGCGGAAGTTGTTGGCTAACGTGGATATGGGACAAAAGAGCCTCGCTTCTAGCGGTGCTACTGTAAAAGAGTTGTTACGGTCAGCGTAATTAAACAAGTGAGTCGGTATTTCACGCCTTTTTATTTCAGTTTTTTCACAGGTTTTGTAAAAAGCAGCTGGTCTCGTCAGTCGGCTATTTTAGGAAAAGTACTGCCTACTAGCTACCCAGCGTTAGCAACACACACTAGCTAGCAAGCAAGCAGAGAAAAGTGATTCCACTTTTGTTAGTTCAGGTGTGTCTGAGTTAATGTTTGCGTGTTTAAACGCCGTTATCCTTGTTGTGTTTTTAAAGTGTCAAGCGTCAGTGGCTACAGTTTGTCAGACCCAGTGTGTGTTAGCTGAGTTAACTGTTCACCGTTAGGACTAAAGTCTATAATCATTAACGTTTGTTTACCTTGAGATTTTAAACGATGTATAAGTCAAGCTTGTAATACAACTCTGTCGGAGTTGACTATTAAGTGGTAATACGATTGTAAATAACACACCTCCAACAGTTAATGATCACAAGTGCTTGTTTACCTCCGTTTACCCGTCTGTTCCCTCATCCTGGCAGAGCCGCCAGGAGTTCAGCCATGGAAGTGCCTTGCTATCTGTCCAAACTACTGTTCGAGCTCAATGAGCAACGGAAGCGTGACTTCTTCTGTGACTGCAGCATCCTTGTTGAAGGCCGTGTCTTCAAGGCGCATCGGAATGTCTTGTTTGCAGGAAGCGGTTATTTTCGAGCTCTTCTCGTTCACTATCTACAGGTAAGGACATAAGCACGGATTCCATTGTTTTCTCTGAGTGTTTGTTAAGGAGAGCTGACTAAACTAAGGTGGCTTCTTGGACGTAAATGCAACAATTTGGTCAAGAATAATGTATTTATTATCGGACTGGCATATATTACAGTCAGTTTCATCGTTAGTTTCAAGGTCTAGTGTGTTGTGTTCTTTCACATACCGCTTGTCGAAAGGGGGAAAAGGCTTTCCAAACCTGCAGTGGATATAAATGACTTACACTTTTCCCTAAACTTGCATAATTCAACTGAAAAGCAAAAAAAAAAATCTTGGAGGAAAATATAAATAATAATGATTAAAAAAATGTACAAAAATCTTTTTGCATAAGTGGGCACACCCCTACAGTAATAATTAGGCAAAGCACTTTTTAAAGAACGCAGTCAGGCTCCTTGGGTAGGAGACTATTAGCATGGCACATCTTGACTTCGCAATATTTGCCCACCTTTCTTTTTAAAAGTACTCAAATATGTCAGATTGCTAGGGTATCTCTTGTGAACAGCCCTCTTCAGATCACACCACAGATTTTTCCATTGGATTTATGTCTGGCTGGGCCATTACAGACTTTAATTTTCTTCAGGTGAGGTCATTCTTTTGTTCATTTGAATTGGCTTGGGATCATTGTTATGTTGAAAGGTGAAATTCCCCTTTATCTTCAGCTTTCTAGTGGATGCCTGAAGATTTGGGGCCCTTCTTCTTGACTAAAGCCCCAGTTCCAGCTGCAACCCCAAAGCATGTTACTGCCACCACCATGCCACCAGGAAACTCCTACTAGGACAGCTTAACTTTACTTGGGCTTAATCAGTTCAATTCAGTTTTATTTATACAGTGCCAAATCACAACAACAGTCACCTCAAGGCGCTTTATATTGTGAGGTAGACCCTACAATAACAACACAGAGAAAACCCCAACAATCTTATGATCCCCTATGAGCAGGAAGAAACCTCCAGCAGTGGAGAGGAGTCTCTTTTATTGATAGTAGGTGTGTAGAAGACTAAATGCTGTGATTGAATCAAAATTTGCTTCACCAAAGTAGTGATTTAAGGGTGTGCTCACTTATACAACCAGCTTATTATGTGTTTTTAACTTTTAATATTTTTCAGATTTGTTTTTTCAATTAAATTGTACAGGTTTAGGTAACATTAAAGGTGGGAACATTTTAAAATGATGTATTGTAGTAATTCTTTTTAACATCATAGAAAACCTGGCATTTCAACAGGGGTGTCTACACTTTTTATATCTATTCTACCTGGCCCTGTGTTTAAAAAAAACAAAAGTAATTGCCCCCACTTGTTAAATTAAGCTCACACCCAGGCCTGATTACTGCCAGACCTGTTCAGTTGAAAAATTACTTAAAGAGAAGATGTCTGACAAAATGAAGTAGGCTAAAAGTTCTCAAAAAGCAACACATCATCTAGAGAAACTCAAGAGCAGATGCCATTTCTAAGACTTTGGGACTCGCAACGAACCACAGTGAGTGCCATTATCCATCCATGGGAGTGTTCCAAGGAAAAAAACTATTGCTGACCGAAAATAACACAGTTTTGTCTCACATTTTCCAAAAAAAACATTGTGATGACTTTTAAGAAAATAGTTTGTGGACGGGATAAAAACATAAACTTTTTTGGAATGTTTGAATTGTGTTAAATCTAGCATAAAACTAAAACACAATATTTCATGAAAAGATCATCATACCAATAGTCATAGATGTTGGTGTTTTGATGGTCTAGGGCTTTGCTACTTTGCTGCTTGAATGTTTGGATGACTTGCTGCAGTTTATGGAACAGTCAGCTGGCACCTGCTCCCTATCAGAAAATCATGAAGCAATCAATTCATGGCCTAAAGCTCAAGCACTTTTGAGTTATGCCACAGGACAATGATCAAAAACAAACCTGACTGGCTCACAAATAAATAAATAAAATAAATGAACAACTTAAGGTTTTGGAGTGGCCTAGCCAAAGTCTGGATCCAATTGAGGCACTAGGGCATGACCTTCACCAGGTGGTTCAGGTTTGAAAACCTTCCAATGTGGCTGAATTAAAACAATTCTGGGGGCTAAAATTCCCGCAGAAAAGTTTGGAAGACTTTTGTTTCCTTTTTATATAAATTAAATCATAATTAAAAAAAACCTCAATTTTGCATTTACTCTCTTTTTATCTAATTGAGATTTGAAATTGGGAAGGGGGCAAATACTTTTTCCACAGCACTGTGTTTTGCCAAGGTCACAACTAAAAACTGCAGACAAGCAGTATTTTTTTATATTGTTCTTTTCTCAAACAAGAGGCAGAGAGTGCTTCACAGAAAACAAACATAAGCAATGTAAAAATTCCAAAATGAAGTAGGTCATATTTAAACAACAGAAATAATGCATTAAGTGCTACAAATAGAAAAATCTGTGTTAAAAGCAGTACAAAAATTAAGACAAATTATGCATTTTACAAAAGAAGAACTGATATAAATATATTACTAATATCCGCACGTAAACAGATTTTTAAGAGTCCACAAAAATGACAACTCACCCAGCATACAGGCAGAGTTACACAGGTCAGGTCACAGCCTCAAGTACTCTGTCACAGTGTGTCCTTCGGTGGATGTGGGGGGAAAACCTCCCAAAAAACATTAATTTTAAATTGTTTTGACTGAAGGGAATGACATGAAGAAGGTCGGCCACAAGGGAGCCTGACTGTGAATGCTGTATAGGTAAGGATGAGAATTTTAACTGGATACTTAACATTACTGAGGGCCGGTGAAGAGACATTGGTTGGGTAATATGGGAGTAGCTCTATGACCTAGAAAGTAGCGTAACAGCATTTTTGAAGTCAGGAAAATGGAGATCTTGAAAACCTTCAGCTGTTTTGTAAAATCTATGATTTGAAATGTACCGGTATTTCTCTGGAGCCCTGTTCCACTTTCTAAATATCTTCTGTTCCAGCATTTGTTTTCCGATACATTTGGCTCAACATTGTCTATCTTTTGAAAACATCTCTTTTCAGGACAGCGGACAGCGCTACAGCACAGCGTCGTTGGACATTGTGACAGCTGACGCCTTCTCTGTTATTCTGGACTTCCTCTACTCTGGACGCCTGGCTCTGAACAGGAGCAATGTCATCGAGGTGATGTCAGCAGCCAGCTACCTGCAGATGACGGATCTGGTGAACTTCTGCAAAGAGTACATCCGGTCGTCTTTGGAAATCTGCAGCAAGGAGAAGGAGAGAAACACGGAGAAAGAGAATCAGACAGAGGATGGAGGAATGGGTCCTGCAGACAGTGGCACTCCTTCTGCAACAATTTCCAGTGGTGCTGGGGTTGCAGAGCCTCATTCACAGGTCTCAGAGGCGGATAGAGGGTCAGGTTTAGGTCAGGAGTCTGTTACATCAGGTAGAACACCTTTGTCCATTGTTGTCACCACCACTCCAGGCGCTACCAGGGATATGGACACCTCCTATCCCTCTCGGGAAGAGTTTGCACCTGGGAGTGAAGGGCAGAAGGGACATATGGATCAGACTAATCTCTCATCATCCTCATCTTCTGCTCTGACTCCAGAGTTGGTGAACCCTAAGATAGAATATGACCCTGATGAAGAGCTTATGGAGTCACCAGACACCAAAGTCATCACATCCTATCCTGGGCCTCCTCTGCACAATACTCATCATAGCAGGCTGCTTCCCCCAAGTCCCTCTCCATCTAACGAACGCTCCCCCTTGGGATACAGCTCATCCTTTAATGCTAGGCAGCTGATGGAGGCGCTGGCCAGAGGTGAAGGTCCCAACTCTTTGGGGGACAGAGTAGGGCAGCGCTTCACCCAAGGGCTGGGTAGCAACACTGGAGGAAGCAGAATGGACGAAGGTCTGGGATTTGTAGGATCATCAATTATGGAGATCCAGTCTGATTGGCTTGGAGAGGACACAGGTAATTAGCAGAATAAATACAAGGACATTTAATCGATTAAAAAGCTATATAGCAATGTTAGTAAATTGTCAACCGGAATAGATAGGGGTAGGTTTGAATTGTTGCTGTGTTTTTCCTCCTTCAGGTGATGGCTTAGTAGTGCCAGTGAAACTCCACAAGTGCCCCTTCTGCCCATACACTGCCAAGCAGAAGGGGATCATGAAGAGGCACATCCGTTGCCACACAGGAGAGAGGCCATTCCCCTGCCCCATGTGTGGCAAGAGGTTCACACGACAGGAGCACCTACGCAGCCACGCCCTTAGTGTAAGAATTTCATGCACTGCAAGCAGGTCGACTTCATTCTGAGTTAACCTTATGCAAGTTTAGTTCATAAATTTTCGAATAACCCAAACTATTAGCATGAACAGGTTAGATTTTCTTTTATTAAGTGTATCTGTACACAACATTTATATTATCTGAGAAGAGACACATCTCAGTTTTTGTTGCATTCCTGTGGCCTCTTGCACTGAACAATTACAGCAACACTGGTCATGTGTCAGTAATTACTACAGGAGTCTCAATGACAGAGACCTGATACAATACTAGAATACAGCTTCTGTATGCTAAGACTTCATTAAAGTATCTGTGTCATGCTGCTTCCAACTTACAATGCACCGTATTATGGATGGAAATATTTTACATTGTGCTCCATAGTACTCATTTTAAAGCTTTTCTACTTTAAAATGGTAAATGGCCTGTATTTATATAGCGCTTTACTAGTCCCTAAGGACCCCAAAGCGCTTTACATATTCAGTCATCCACCCATTCACACACTGGTGATGGCAAGCTACATTGTAGCCACAGCCACCCTGGGGCGCACTGACAGAGGCGAGGCTGCCGGACACTGGCGCCACCGGGCCCTCTGACCACC